ATCTCTGGAATGACTCGTCCATTGATTGATTTTACGATAAGAATCTATTGTATTAACAAGATTTGATCCTCCGTATTGAAATGCAATTGTATCTCCATGATCATGATACATATCCGTTAACATGTTTACTACATCTGAATCAACATGTACTTTTGGTTGATCAATTATTCCCAATGCGTATAACTTTATGTATGTGCACATGTGCATGTGAATGTTAACAATGAATAGATTAATAAGGTGGTAAGATAACATATTTAAGTTTTTTTTTTTTAGCTTTGATTATTTTTTTTTAAAAAAAATGTACTTTACCTGATGACCTAAGGCACATTTACCAATAATTAATTGTGCCGCGTTTGTTCTATCTAAACAATCAATACAATTTGTTCTAACAACTCCATTTTGACGAAGATGCATTCTTTGATTTTGTGGTACACCTTGACTTTAATTAAAAAAGGTTACTACTACAAGTACATACATGTATCCATAATATCCTCAATAAATATTTATATAATATATATGATACAAACATCTCTTCTCTTTTTATTACATTTATAGAAGCTTCTGGTCCACTATGAAAAAAACCTGTATCAGCCAAGTATTCTTCAGCAAAAGTTTCCATCAAATCCATAACATCCTCATCACTTTTAAAATAATTCAATAAGTAAACTTAACTACATCTTTATAATCATTATAATTACAACTATCAAGTTAAAAAAAAATATACCCTTTTCTAGCTTTTGACATATCCCAAGCTTTATATTTAAGACTATTTTCAGGTAAGAACTGTGTTAGATAGTTTATTGATTCTTCTAATTCGTCGCCCAAAATTGATTCTCTACGATTTTTTTCTTTGGTCTTTTGATCAATAAATGATTAAATAAATAGACAATGATTATATTAAGAAAATCATTACAATTTCATCCCCTCCCTCTCTTTCTCTTAGTTTTTGAGAAGTTCACCTTTATAAGATTCAAAACTATTATCGGTGCACCATAACGTTGAAACATATTATCAAAATGTAATGCAGCTGCTGAATAAAACGGGTCTCGGAAGTTTACTTTTTTGTAATAAAATATATGCAATAAAAATTGAATAATGATTATGAAAAAATACAATCAATTAATCAATCAATTATTTAATTAAAGAGAATTCTTTTACAAACATGCTATTGGAGGTTTTGGTATCATGTTGGCAACATCTTGAGACCAGTATAAAGGAATTGAACCACGGTGTTGAACATATGATGTATAGTTGGGATTATTACATGATCTATTCCCCGAATGATTAAAAGATGTGGTGCTCATTTCAGATACTATTTGTTCAGTTTCTACATCGTTTGCTACATAACCCTTTTTTTTTAAAAAATATATTATTTATTTTATTTTATTATAAAAAACCACTTATCAATTTTACTTACTTGATCATTAACACCACGTTTCAAAAATCTCGCACCGGCAAAATAACGAGATCTTCTAGCTATCAATGTTACAAAAATGTTTCTTCCAAAAATTGAGATTTCTATAAAAACAAAGTAAATCATCATAAAATTACTTTAAATAATCATACAGTTATTTCTTTCTTTTGGTTCATTTTATTTTATATTTATTTCAAGCTCACTTGATTGATCCACAAAGCCATTAATTATTGGTAGAATCCAGTCAGAATCCTTTTTTAAACTACGAAATCCATTTTCTAATAAATAATGATTCCATACAAACATTTCATTGTATGAAAATTTTCTATGGTTTTCAGGCCTAGACATATTATTTTGAAGTGTGTGTGTAATATCATAGGTGTAACTAAAATAAAAATTCTTTGTTAAATCAACATTATTAAAGATTCCAATGTATCTATAATAAATAATAATAACAATAGTAAGAATATTATTATTATTGGAAAAAGAAAAATTAATATTAGTACTCCCATTTTGGATCACTTTAACAGTGTAAATAAAAAATCAATTAATTTCATACCTTTGTTCATCGGATTTCTTTTCTACTCTAGTATTTGGTCCAATTGGTCTAAGAACCGTATTGTCAATATGATAGATGTAATGTCCGCCTATCAAAGCGACAGGGCTTTTTTCCGTAATCAACGAAATATAATAACCTTCGGTAAATCGAATGAAGCCAACTATCCCGTAAGCAGTAACAACTTTGTGTAAACCTCCAGAAATTCTATTTCCTTCATCGAGAACTGTCAATATATCGGTTATTTCTTGTTTTGAATAAATTACATCATCATCTATCACATTAAGCTCTGTTGGATCCGTTGGAGTTGTTCGATCAATCTTTAAGATACGAAATCTGTTATCGCTTTGATTTGATCCAATTAGATAATAATTCTAAATAAATAAATAAGTAAGTAAATGTTGAATGAATTGTGATAATTTATAATTTAATAATGGCAACAATTTTTGTTATTACCGTTTTTGTCTCGTATAATGTAAACTCATTTAACACCAGTCGATGAGAGGTTTTATCATCCATTATAGTTTGTCGATATAACTAACTTTCTTGCCAAGTTTGAATGTGTAAATCAAATTTTTTAAAAAAAGAATTTCATTTAAAAATTGTGAAAATGAAAATGAATTAGCCAATCAAAAGGAATTTCGCACTCAATTATGAACTCCATATATACAGTGGTGTGCAAAAAAAATGACAATCTTTTTGGAAAAAGATCAAAAAGTGTAACTTCCTCAATTTTGGTCATAAAGATACAATTAAATACGGAAATAAAGGCTTAACAATTACTCTATCATTTCCAAGTATCATTTTCATTATAATCATCAATACTTCCCCTTGTCCATGTAGCAGTATAAATTGAACTAAATCCACCTTCAGTTAATTTTGTTATATCATAAAATTGCTCAAAAGGTATCCATTCTAAAATATAGTTTGGCAGAGATGATTTCATTTGACATTGTTGAATAAAATTATCAATTATGTTATTTTCAGATGTCCAAGTATTGAAAAGACTCTGTAGCTGTAAACTAATACAACCTTCACAGAATCTATCAGAGTATCTTGTTGTTTTACACTTGTTACATTCTTTTGGTTTGCCAAGTTTATTAATTATATTATTTAATTCAAAGCTATAAATGAAATGTTCTCTACAATAATTTTTTTCATTTTTAGAGAGCTCCTTATTTTTTTCAACTAATGAAAAAAAATAATCTTTTATACTTTCTCTTTCAGAATTATTAACCAGAGCATTATTATGCATTTCTTTCTGAATTTTATCTACAAAGTTCCTTCTTTCTGATGATAATAATTTATTAAATGACATTTTAACTTTATTTAATAATTTTTTATAAATTTATTTTGGAAAAGGTAAAATTTATCAAAAATTTTTTATGAATGATGTGTAACAAACATTCCTACTTCACATTCCTAACTTTTTATTATATCAATGGGCTTTAACAGTTAACTTCTCTATCAGGAAGATATTCTTGATAGGGAGTTCTTCTTGATAATTCATTGATACTGTTTTCAAACTGAGATACATTTATAAAGGGATTTTAGACATGTAATATAATAATAGTTTGATGAAAAAAATATCTTGAGCAACTGTTTTTATATAATTTGCATTATATTCTTTTGAAACATGATTTTATAAAACTCCGAATGAATGAAATTGATAAATTAATTTTTTTATGGTTTAATAACCATCACATAATAAAATATCATTGTCATATCTTGTTTCAAGTGCTGAACCTAAGATAATAATAAATAAAAAAGAAGTTAGCAAACTCTGAGCAAGGTTATTTTGCACCCATTTAATTATCCCTCGATCAGTCATCACTTGATTACTTAAACCAGCTCATGAATGTAGTGACCCATTACATTCTAACAATAACCTTTCAATATTTATTATTCAAGCAAAATATTCCTTGGAATAAACAAATTAAATCTTTTAAAATATTAACAAAATAACTTTAAACATGTCATATTCTCTTGAAGCAGTATTTAAAACTAGGACTTCAAACAGTCTAAAGGGACTGTCCAAAGGAGAAATAGAAATAAAAATAAATGCTAACAAGCCTAAAATAGTAATAGTCGCTAGGATAATAGTAGCAGTAGTTGGTAATTTTTGAGTGCAGGGTTTCTATTTGTTAATACATGTTGAATTATTCGTTCTCTTGAGAATCTTCCTGGGAATACTGATTGAAAATTAACAAATCCAGTTTTCCAAATACACCAGTAAAGAAGGACCTATTCATTTTTTGGATCTTTATTTACATAATGAGCAGAGAACCACAAAGTAACCTTTTTTTTTATAAACAGCTTGTTAGAGAGTTGCATGATTTTTTTTTCATAAACAAAAGATAATCAAGATTGTTAGAAGAAAAATTAGAAAATTTTCATTGATAAATATAAAAATTCCAAATTTAATATCAACAGAGACAATTGATTCGTATCAAACTTGGATGTGTTTCTGATGTCCAGGACAAGCCTTCTGAAATCATTATTATGGGTAAGTAATAAATAAGTAATTAAATAATTAATAATTGTCTTGAATTTTTAGACAACTAAAATTTTGTATTTACGTGGAACTTCATCATTGGAACAAGCAAATAACTGTATCATCATGACACAAAATGAACCTGCTCCTCAAAAGAAAGCACAAAGTCATAATAAATATTTTCTTTGTCTTAACTTCTTATATTTACCTGGATGAGTCAGACGGGTAATTAAAGACTCTCAACCCTCAAGAATTCGTGCGCTTGGGAAATTTACAAAAAGGATATTGTTTATAAGTGCTTTCTCCCCTATTTTTTTCCTTTGTATTAATAATAATCCGACTTCTAACATCTACCAGTTAAACTATTCCATTTTCGTCGCATCATAGTATTTCGCAAAATATTAATAATATATCAATAGGAAATTACATAGCATGCCCTTTTTCTGGGTAAAAAAAATTAGAAGGTTAGGTATAGACGGTTAGAATTTTCGTAGGGTAATGAAAAACATGGTAAATGAGTAAAATTAAACATACCATCATAATCGTGTTATGCACGCATGTGTATCACTGTCATCAAGAGCAGCACAACCAATAACAGGTGAAACTGTTGCTTTGTCATTAACCAATATTTGTTACTGTTCAACTTCAATCGGGGGGATTTGACTTTGGCCTTCCGGATGCATAAATCCACAATAAATTTCAACTTTTCAGCTTCTTTGATATCAACTATTCTATCAGGAAAATCGTACAATTCAATACAATTACCTGCGGTTTTCTCGCCACCGCTTGTATATGGGAAGAACGCTGTAATAGAGTCGTCTATAAGCATTAGAATTTGGATCAACATCATCATATTCCGGTCCATATATGCTGCAATAATTAACTACGTGGTTCCTTTCATCTACATCACCGTTACAAGTATTCAACCAAAAATTTAAATCAAGATCCAATTTCTCTCATTTTGAGAGCAAAAAACTCATAGCATACGAGAAAAACGGTTTAAAAGCATCCAAAAATACTACTTTGCTGACTGTAATAGAACTTTGTACTAGTAGAAAAAGTTACATTCCAACATATTTTTGATTTTGTTTTTCTCAAGTCTCGAATCAGTCAAATTAGCAAGCCGATTAATTGCTTCAACCCAATTCCCCTTTATTGTACCAGTTTGCGGATTAAACTCCATGATATCCTTTATGTTAATCACCAAACGTTGTTTACCTTTATGCTTGACAATATGTTCGTTAACCAAACATGCATCAAGAGTTAAAGGTAAATGTTAATCGTTATTATAAGCATCTAAATTGCTGCTACAAATTCAATTTTTATTGTAATTTTTTCTCTTCTTTGGCAAATTTAGCAAATAAAGAAGAAGTTTGATCAACGGTTTTAATGTGTGAGCGAAATTTTATTTTCAAGTTTAATAAGTATACAGTGGTGTGCAAAAAAAATGACAATTTTTAAAATTATTATAGTTTCACAACCATCACACCAATTTAACTGTA